GTTTTTGTACGATTGGAAAACATGCTTAGTTACTGTAAGGGATATCAGGAGAACAGAGAGTGACTGAGAAAAATTGCAAGATAGGGCTGCAGTTAGGATCAAGAGTTAGCGGTACCCTCTCAGTTCGGCAAATATAGTCCGATCAGCCCATGCCTGTAAGGGCTAAGCTGGGTCTTGACAGGAGCTTCGGGGGATTTGTGCTTCTCACAATGCTGCAACATGCGGCTCTGCTGTGGCCTCAGGTGTCGTCAGGGGTCTGTGCCCAATGTGCATCGGCTCCCCTCGCTTCAGCTAGGATAAGGTCTCCGGACTTCGGACCATGGTGTTCCGCCCCAGTGCATGAGCTTCGTGAGGCTTCACTAACCGGCTTGTTTTCCTGCTGGTGAAGACTCTGAACACAAGCTGGGATCTGAAGTCGTGTCTGAGGCGTGGGCAGTATAGGTTGCTTCCTCCGGTCTTCCCAGCCCTTCCAAAATCGCTGGCACATGGCGTAGAAAGATGCAAGTAATTCTTCTTCCCATAGCCAGTTACTGCCCTCAGCCATTTTGGATATACCGCATGTAAGTTGCTTTTGCCCAAGAAACTCTGCAGTGATGTAGGTGAGTACTCTCTTGATGGAGCGGGGGGGGGGGACAGGGCTCTGAGGATCCTTAGATATTTAAGCCCAGGCAGCTTCGGACTGAGAGAACGGCCGCTTCTCCTGCCCAGAAATCGCCAGGCCACAACAAGCTGAAGGCCGCAACCGCCTGTCACAAGAACAACAGGGTCTGGAGCTTGCTTTACAGGTGCCCAGGTGGTGCCAGACGTGGGTACCAATAAGGAAAGGGTAGTTTATAGGGTCTTTTCACCTCCAAAATCATGCTTATTTAGAAATTAGTCTGGAGCTCAAGCTACCCACGACCCTCCAGTATGGCGTCCAATCCCCGTCCCCCCGTAAAGACCTATTTTAAGCCAAAATCCTTCATATAATCCCCACTATGGTATATCTCACAACGTCTCATAAGGAGAAATTATTCTCTAATTTCATTACAAAATAGTCATCATGAGAATTTCACATCATGAGTGAACAAGCAATCAGATAACAGGCTAAACTAGAACATATAAAGCGTAAACATTTTAATTACAGTTTGTGTTTTTTAATCATCATATTACACTGATGTGTTTTTTCCATAATTTTTTGGGGACACACTATGAGTACTCACCTTTACTAATCTATTGAACACACGCTGTAATTACTTTACTCACACTGCATTTAATGTCACTGAAAGGCTATAAGCCACCATGTAGGCTACCATAGAGCCCAAATGGTGATGAACCATCACTGGTAATGCACAATGCAAAGAAAATGTTAAAGGACCACTATAGTGCCAGGAAAACATACTCGTTTTCCTGGCACTATAGTGCCTTGAGGGTGCCCCCACCCTCAGGGTCCCCCTCCCACCCGGCTCTGGAAGGGGGTAAAAACTTACCTTTTTCCAGCGCTGGGCGGGGAGCTCTCCGCCTCCGATTCTCCTCCCATGCGGCTGAATGCACACGCACGGCAACAGCTGCGCGCATTCAGCTGGTCACATAGGAAAGCATTATCAATGCTTTCCTATGGACGCTTGCGTGCTCTCACTGTGATTTTCACAGTGAGAAGCACGCAAGCGCCTCTTCGGCTGTCAATGAGACAGCCACTAGAGGAATTGGGGGAAGGCTTAACCCATTCATAAACATAGCAGTTTCTCCGAAACTGCTATGTTTATAAAAGAATGGGTTAAGCCTAGCTGGACCTGGCACCCAGACCACTTCATTAAGCTGAAGTGGTCTGGGTGCCTAGAGTGGTCCTTTAAATGTTATCTTCCCCTGTACGAAGATTGGATTAGAATACTGTTCACACAGAGTATTATAGGACAATTTTATATTAAAAACCAAAAACTGATTTAATAAAATGTTATTTAAACCTGAGAAGCACGTAAATGGCCCTGACATACCTTTGTTAGGAATTTACCAAAAAAGTAGACACAAGTAAAGTTCATTAGCATTATGTCATGAACATATCTGAACACATGGGTTTGTTCACTTACCTGATATCAAGAGTATTGTACCAATACATGGTATTAAAGTGATCTAACCTGAGTGAGCGTGTTCATTGAAATGATTAATTTTGTATTTTGTCAGTCATCCAAGAGAAGAGGGCTCTAAGAGTTGCTAAAAGCCTTAACCTTACTAGAAATCTAGGAACCAAGAACAGGTTAGTGATGAAAAAAAAATGCTGAATGTAACGGACCGTTTCTCTCACAAGGGGATAAAATCGGTTTAGGCGATAATCCCCTTTCCCATAGGCCAGCAGCTACTGCAATCACCAACCTCCTGAACTCCAAACTGCACGTATTCACCAACTCTCGAACAGCAGACACAGGAACCCTGGAAGCAGCCGAACAGGAAAAGCAATACAAACGGCTTACACTCCTGGCAGTCAGCACACAATCCAATTCCCCCAATAACGAGACGACACTTCGTTTTGAGGGTTAAGCAGAATCTGAGGTGCTGGCACACCCAGCCTGGTTTTTATTACAGTGTTTTCAAATACAGGACCGCCCACAGGGAGGTATAAAACAACCAATAACATCACAGTTACATCCCACATATTCCCTCCCCTTATGCTGAGAGGAAACTCAATTATACATACAGTTAAAACATACTTTCTACCCAACTTTCATAACTCTAAAACCATACATCACATTCACATAAAATTACACATTCACAATCAATCCATTCAGGGGAACAACATATTAAAAAATGGCACAAATCAGACAAGGGGTTCAAAAGTTAGTAAAAAGTCCTTTGTGACTAAATGAAGCATGGCTTTCTGGCCCAAACCAGTTTCAGAGTCTTCTATCCTGGAGATAAGTAATTCAATTATCTCCCAGGACAGACACAAGACTCCATTAAGCACATGGTTGCAAAAAGACACAAAACACTTTAAAATACATAAAGTCACCTTTTATACATAAAACACAGACATTTCACATATCCCCAGATAGCTCAGGTCTGAGCGCACATTATTAAGTGAATGGCGCTCAGACCACACGAATACAGTTTAATCGCCATGGAGCCAAAGTCTTTACAGTCAGTTTCATACAAATGGGCTCCATGGGATTCCTATCTGGGGTATAACACATTCAAACACATCTACCGAACCCCAGGCAGAAAAGCACGAATACAGCTTTTCTGCAGGCAAAAATAAAGTCTTTTTAAAAGGGGGCCATAGTCAGATGGCAGGAGGCTGGCAACCAGGCTTCTCCAGTGCACAGTGGCGAGGTTGGTTTCGCCACACTTCTCCCCTTTACCAATCAGACTAACAGGGTATCTGACCTCCTGCCGGTCAGTGCCCTTGTTAGTCCAGCAGCCCACCCACAAAACACAATCAGTAATACAGCCCACCCACAATAACTGGCTACTACACCTGGGTAGAGGGGAACTTTGTCCGTGTCCAGGTGCCTCACCATGGCTGTGTGGGTGACTGGTCAGCGTACTGGGTGGGTTGCTGAGTGGGCAGAGACCAGCGGTACTCTGTCCTGGTGCCAGCACTACCACGGGAGTAGTCTGGTTGGAGCCTGGTTGCTGGAGGGGGGACAGACTGTCTCCCCTTTGCCTAAACAGTCCTGCTGCTGGGGGACAGGACCGACTGTTCCTACCCCCGGTGGTGCATGTGCAGCGACTACTGTCCCATCTGCACTGTTGTGGAGATTACTGTCTCCCCTTGGTGGGCTAAGCTGCCGCTGGGGAGAGGGTGTAACAAGCTCCTCTCCCATACATACTTTCAGCCGCTGGGGAGAGGGGATAACAAGCTCCTCTCCCTGACACACTCTCTGCTGTTGAAGGGAGAGACCGACTGTCTCCCCTTTCAATAATTCGTCCTGTTGCTGGAGAGAGGTGATAACTGGTTCCTCTCCCTGGAACACTCTCTGCTGTTGGAGAGGGGGACCAACTGTCTCCCCTTTTAATATATTGTCCTGCTGCTGGGGAGCGAGACCGACTGTCTCCGCTTCCTGCAGGACACACTGCCGCTGGGGAGGAAGGACGGTACCTTCAGCTCCCAGGGATACACACTGCCGCTGGGGAGGAAGGACGGTACCTTCAGCTCCCTGGGATACACACTGCCGCTGGGGAGGAAGGACGCCACCTTCAGCTCCCTGGGACACACACTGCCGCTGGGGAGGAAGGACGACACCTTCAGCTCCCTGGGGTACACACTGCCGCTGGGGAGGAAGGACTGCACCTTCAGCTCCCTGGGACACACACTGCTGCTGGGGAGGAAGGACGGCACCTTCTGCCCCTGGGGCACACACACTGCCAGCTGGGGAGGAAGGACGCACCTTCAGCTCCTGGGATACACACTGCCGGCTGGGGAGGAAGGGACGTACCTTCAGCCCTGGGATACACACACTGCCGCTGGGGAGGAAGGACGCACCTTCTGCTCCCTGGGACACACACTGCCGCTGGGAGGAAGGACGGCACCTTCTGCTCCTGGGGTACACACTGCCGCTGGGGAGGAAGGACGGCACCTTCAGCTCCCTGGGGTACACACTGCCGCTGGGGAGGAAGGACTGCACCTTCAGCTCCCTGGGGTACACACTGCCGCTGGGGAGGAAGGACTGCACCTTCAGCTCCCTGGGATACACACTGCCGCTGGGGAGGAAGGACTGCACCTTCAGCTCCCTGGGATACACACTGCCGCTGGGGAGGAAGGACTGCACCTTCAGCTCCCTGGGATACACACTGCCGCTGGGGAGGAAGGACGCACCTTCAGCTCCCTGGGATACACACTGCCGCTGGGGAGGAAGGACGGCACCTTTAGCTCCCTGGGGTACACCTATGAGTCCCCGTAACGCACTCTGCCTCCGGATAGGGCGGCTGATACCTTTAGCTGGATCTGCCATGAACTCCAGGTACTCGTCTACCTGGCTCCTTACGAACTGCACGTATTTCTCCGGGGGGTTGGGTCCAAAGAAAGCCAGCCGCATAGCAAACTCTCTGTCATACTGCTCCTGAGTGTAGCTAGGTGCCATGCTTGCGCTGCTGAAGTTGGTTCTTTTGTCGATAGGGTCGCTGTACGTGTACTGGCGTTGCCCTCACTTTGTAATCCAAGGAATGGTGTTGCCCTGTAGCTGTCTTTCTGGTTGTAGGAACGATCCCGCCGCTTGCCACCAATTGTAACGGACCGTTTCTCTCACAAGGGGATAAAATCGGTTTAGGCGATAATCCCCTTTCCCATAGGCCAGCAGCTACTGCAATCACCAACCTCCTGAACTCCAAACTGCACGTATTCACCAACTCTCGAACAGCAGACACAGGAACCCTGGAAGCAGCCGAACAGGAAAAGCAATACAAACGGCTTACACTCCTGGCAGTCAGCACACAATCCAATTCCCCCAATAACGAG